TCCTGCTGAGATCCATCCAATTTAGGCATTTAAACCTTGGCCACCCAGTGCCTCCAGGAGAAGTCTCAAAGATTAAGACATTTTCTCTCATGCCTCCTTTCCTCACAAGCAGTTGGAGGACAACAGGGAAACTGTGGAGCTTATCAGGCAGGGGGTAGCTGCTGTTAGGACACAGCGTTCAGAAGTCTTTATTTTGGGGAACCCTGCGGTTATGCTGTGGACTCGGGAGGATCATTAGGAGTGCAGTGATAAACTCCACCAATTTCCACCCATAGAAGTGACCCCCTTGTTCAAAAAGAGGGCTGCAGAGACAGCTTGCAACTCTGCACTTCTCTGGATTAAACTGAAATTGGTGGGAAAGAATAGGCATGAAATCATCCTCCTGGAGACCACTGGTTTCCAACCCATTGACACTATGTCCCAAATAGTCCCACAAAAGCCCCAGCTGGGACCCTGGTGAGGGTAATAATAATAATAATAAGGATAATAAGAGGTGGGGACCCAGCAGATGGAAGGCATTGTCGTGCGTCTTCACCAGTCTGAATGCTCAAAAGCATCTGCCTGTTGGCAGAACACCCCGTTCTCTGTGCTGTGGGCAGGGGAGCCATCGGACAAGTGGGGAACAATGGGATGTGATGCAGAGGGCTTCAGGGAATTGGGTGTTTAAAGGAATGTCAAAGTCTGGAGCAGATGCTGCGCAGCAGAAAACTGAATTACCACTCTCCGAGATACTTTTCTGGCAGAGCCGTTACGTGGTTCAGGCTTTACAGTCGCCTTTAGATTAATTCTGATGACTCCTCCTTGGGATGAATGTCTTGCTTTGGTTTGGGAAGAGTTGCATCTAGCCCAGAAAATGCATTATTTATTCTTTTTTTCAGAACAGTTCAGCCATCTGAGGATGGAGAACAGCACAGATTTTGCCTCAGTGTGTTTAAAGGTACCGCGAGCTGCTCTTGAGTCCGTTCTAGATCTCAGCCCAGGGGAGGTGGTGTCTGGAGGTGAGCAGGGGCAGGAGCTGTGCTGCAGCCTGTACTGAGTGCTCTGAGGCTCTCCAGGAGCAGAGGAGAAGGAGCAGCA